TCTATCTATCTATCTATCTATCTATCTATCTATCTATCTTTATCTCTATCTCTCACTGAGCATCTTCTCACTCCAAAAATTTGTGGGCCTTTGGGCTCTCAGACTTGTACGTCTCTGACGGTCTCCCCACCTTGTTTCTCAGGACTTTGACCTTGAACTGGACCAAGAATTATGCCATCAGTTACCTGAGTTCTAAAGACTTGGCCTAGGAATAAATCACTAGATGGACTTTTCTAGACATAAAGAAAATAATTCTTTTCAGAAACATATCATGAGGCTTCCTAGTCTCTATAGATAAACACACCCACACATACAGTCCCCATAATAAATCACCCTTATATATTTGTGTGCATCCTGTTGTTTTTGTCGCTCTGGCAAGTCCTGCCAAGTATAAGTAGATACAAATACATATATGGGTGCAGATATGCTGTGGCATCGTGAGAGGACTTGAACAACAGTAAGCCTCTGACAAGTCTGAGCTAACTCTCAGGTCACTGTCACGACACGGCAGCAAGCTAGGGAAGCTGCCTTTCCAACCAGCAGCATCAGCACCAAATGGGAGACAATTACAAATGGAATTTCCTGGCCTCTGCCCTGAGCCTACGTAATCTGAAATTCTGGATATTGGACTCAACAACCTACTAAGCCCCACCCAGAGGATGAGTGCATGCTAAATAGTTTGAGAACCAGAGTTAGAGGCTTAATGTCAAGCAGAAGTAAAAATCACATTAGTTACTTCCTAAGTGTGTAGCCTTAATCAAGAGGAGTCTTTAAAATTGCAGGCTGTCCACTTGTAAAATAAGAGCATTAGTAACACCTTACTTCATAAAGGTGAGACAAAGGAAATGAAATAAAGCATATAGAATGGTTGGCCTAGTCTCTGACACAGGGATAAGGGTTAGTAACTGTTAGTACTATTTTCTCCCTTCTCTGACTTCAGGGCACCGCTGTCATGGGCTACCATCCCAATTTCCACTTCCGCGCTACAGTTTCATTTTCTGCACAGACTATTACAACAGAAATGCAAGTAGTTGCTTCTAAAAAAAACTTGTTAAGGACTGCAGACTTAGATGGTGTGACTTCTTTTTTGTCCCTTCTATCTTTTCCCAGCGCAAAGGCACAAAGAAAGTAACACTGATTATGAAGGCACTGGAAGAGCAAGGCTCTTGATTAGACCGTGGTCCTAACTGGCCACACCCAGGTTTAAACTGTCTCCCATTGTCTTGGCATCAGGCAGAACTTACCGTAATTTGTTATCTTTTTAGTTCTGAATTCCCCAATTACAAATGACGATAAGCAAAAGTTTTCACTTTTCTTTATAGTTAAGCGAACTAAGAAGATAACTGAGTTAAATATTCTTGGCGCATTAAAGGAACAAACTTTGACCATGACATGATCACTGTCCTTATGAGGACTATTACCTTCTTATTTATCATCCTTTTGTTTATAAATGGATGTCTTTTTAAACTATGGCAACTAATAACATCAATAACATCATTGTTATTGAGGCATTTTAAAAGGGTTTTTTTTTTCCCCTCCTGTTTCCCAGTATGTTATTTTTGAAACAGAGAAATATTTTGCCTTCTAACTGGGGACAATATTGTGCAAACCTGAAGTGTGAGTAATGAGCCAAACATAAAACACAGTTCCCAAGTGATGTGGGCATTCGGCACGAAGTTGAATTTCACATCTCCACATCTTCCCGCTATGATCATTTCAGTTGGAAAGTCATCCAAGAAGTAATATAAATATCCTGTTAAATATGGCCTGCCTGCATGTGTATGTGCCTGAGCAAGTGTGTGAGTTTGCATGTATTCATGTGTGTATGTGTGATTATGTGGGTGAGCATCCTCCCACTTGGTGTCTGGGAGTGCACATGCCTGAGGTCAATCCCAACTGTCATTTCTCAGGAGCCTTCCATCTTTTTTTAAAAAAAAGATTTTCTTTAATGTTATGTAGATGAGTGTTTTGCTTGCATGTATGTACATGTCTGGTGCCTGTGGAAGAGGGAGCTAGCAGCCCCTGAAGCTGAAGTTAAGGATGGCTCTGGGCTTCCAAGTGGATGGTGATAATTGAAACCAGACCTCTTGGAAGAGCACCACTGCTTATAACCACTGAGCCACCTCTCTAACCTCTTCCATCTTGTTTTTGTGGTTGTTTTGATTTTATGTCTTTATTTTTATTGTTTGAATGTTTTTGCTGTGTGCATATCTGTTCACTACAAGTGTGTCTTGCCCCTGTAGCAGTCGGTAATGGGCATCAGAACCCTCTAGCAGGAATTACAGGCAGTAAGAGCCACTGTATGGGTGCTGGGAATCAAACCTGGTCCTCCTCAAGAGCAGCCAATGCTCTTAACCACTGAGCCATCTCTTCAGCCACTTCTATTTGTCTGTCATTGAAATCTGGAGCTCATGGATTTGGCTAAGCTGGTTGACTAGGAAGCCCCAGTGCTGGGATTAAAAGCACAGCCCGCCACATGAAACTTTTATGCAGATCTGGGGAGTGAGCTCAGTTGTTCACACTTGCACAGTAAGTGTATTACCAGCTGAGTTACCTCTCTAGTCCCGTGATTTGGTTTTGAAGAAAATAGTCCCTAGGTTCAGTTTTGAGTTGAATGGGTAGATCATTCACCTCTTACTGTGAGCCTTCCATGCTGCAGCCCACCAATGGTGACCAACTTCACAGCACCAATGTCATCATTGTCAACAATCTGAAACTGTTCCCAAGTGATGGGCCGAGACTGCCCCTCCAGGAGATTCAAACCTATAAGAAAATACAGAAACACGTCCTACACAATTCTGTACATCCAACACATCTGTTTAAGGTTAATGAGTTTTCACTTATGAACCTATCTGAAGGTTGTATCTTCAAATGCTTTTCGTGAAACTTGAATACCACTTGTGTTTTTAGGGAACCTTGCTCTAATTTCAATGTGACAATGGATTCCTTAAGATGCATTCTTAAGAACCATGATGATGCCCGAAACTAAAAACTGAAGGAAAGAGCCAAAATCAGGCTCACAGTGATCCTTGGTTTAATGAGTCCATGGGGAACTTGTCAAAGATTAAACCTTAGGTTTAGGTGGACGACAGTCAGAAGGGGTTTTACATATGACTTCTGAGAGCATACATATATAGTACTTCAATACCCTTATACAGAGCCACTGTACCTGGCCGTGTTTATAGATGTTAAATGTAGAGTGCTGGCACTCTGCAAAATAAAAGTACATTCATTTAAACTCTAGTTGGAGATTAACTTATGCAACTAAAGGAATGAAATAGACTCTCCTCATACTCAATATGCCAGAGGAAGTCCATCAACTTTCACTCACTGGTAATAGGAAAATACAAACTCTGAAGCCATGTATCACCATCAAACATTCTTATCTCTCAGTAGAACTGATAATCGACAAACAGCTCACACTTTTCTCATCTGCCTCAAACTATTTGCAGATGCAAATAGCTGCATCTGCTTCATAGAGACACCAGAACAACAGAGTGATCCATACATCATACTGGAAATTTGTGAGCAGCTCAGCCATGTCTCCTGCGGTGGCTTGGACTGTGAATCATCATCAAAAGGTGTGCAACTTTGGTCTTGAGAGAGTGTTTATAAGAGGCTTGGGGGCAGATGTTTAAGTCACCGTGAGCATGCCCTTGGAGGTGATGTGGAATTCAGCCACTTCCTTTCCCTCTACGTTGTTGCTTCTTGGCCGTGAGGTGAGCAGCTTTGCTTCCCCACAAGCTCCTGCCATGATGTGCTGTTTCACCATGGCTCCAGAGTGACAGGGCCAACTAACTATGGACTGGACTTTCTAGAACTGTGCTAACCTATACTCTTTATAAGTTGGTTGTCTTGGGTATTTGTTACAGAGACACAAAATGCTTGCTCTTCCTTGTCAGCATACGGTCAACACATGATCTAACTCAGGGTCTATTTCCTGGAGAAATTGAGCTAAGACGTCTATGACTGTAAAAAAAAAAAAAAATAGAAAGGAAGAAGTGAAAAGAGGGAGGAAAGGAGAGAAAGAGATGAAAGGAGAGCTAAAAAGGAAGGGATGCGGCCAGGGAGAACGGACATAAGAGATGTAACTGTTCTTCATGGCTGCTGAGAAGCCTCCAGGGTTCTTGGGGTGGTGCTGGGACATGTGTACACACACAAGTCATCCTGGGATACATCAGGGGAGCATCCAAGAAGACTCTAAGTCAATCAGCACATTGAAATGCTGACAGCATTTATAACTATATTATCTATAGTAGAAAATGAATAGTTATTCTTCCATCTAATATATTCTCTAACTTTTCAATAAAAACAGATACCAAGTTCATAATAAGTAAAAACTCATTTTTAAAAGGATTGTAATGCCTGCTACTTCCTGATGCATCTGAGGATCGTGTATCATAGAGATGATTCCACCTTCTCACAAGAACACAGTAGCCCTGATACTCAACTTTCATTGACCAGTTCCTTCATTGCTCTCATTATCCCTCAAAAATCCAGTATTATAAGCCTAAGCTGAGATTCGGGATCAGCCATGAATATGTTCTTCTTAACACAACCCACAGCACTACTTGAAAGCCTGTTTTGGATATCATTGATGATATTACTGAAAAAGAAAAGGGCCATTTGCATTCTACATTTGCATCTGATCTAAATCACATTCCCAGGTTACTTGGAATTGAGTGGCAGTGTAATGACTTTCTCTTCTCTTTTTCTTTCTTTTCTTTTTTAAGCTGCTTAGCTTAACCTCTTATTTCCTTATTTTGGTTAATGCAACTCAACAAAAAAATAGGACAATGGATTCCAGGCTGCACCTTGCTCATACCCCTCTGCAAAAATCTGAGTTGGATGCATCTTCTACACTCAGTCAAATAAAGCAGCCACTTAATTTCTCCGTTCATTTGTAAGGGGCTACTATTATAGTCTCTCTCCCAAAGCAGAAATATAACCCGAGGATTCAAGGATGCTGGATTTCAATTTCTCACCAGCTACTAGGAAAAACCAGAACAGAGATAACTGCTGTTCTTGTTCTGCCTTGGTTTCTAATACCTCGTGGATGAAATGGAATAAAAGGATTTTTCTTGACCCATCCACCTCCTTGTGTTTTCCTCAGGACTACATCCACACCTGTATTCCATGACACCCGGGGAGCATTCGTGTCTGCTGTTCTGATGGAGATGTGGACTGTGATGGGGGCACTCTTCTCAAAGAAGAAGTCATAGGCCTCCAGCTCCATCTGGAATCAAACAAATTTGCATGAGCCCCACAGACAAATTTAGGCTTAAAGTTCCATCATACACATACATAACACACACACACACACACACACACACACACACTCATGAAGCAATAATGGGTTCAGGTTTAGTGTTGCTACTCTCTTTTAAATTTAATTCTATTTTTAAAATTAATTTTACAACCAATTGAGATAAATGATATTATATAAATCACCCCTTTTAAGTACACATAAATTTACCGAGCTGTACAACCATCTGCTATGTGAGTGTCACTGCTTTTCCATTACACCAAAGGTCTTCATGCCCGTTACTATGCTTTCTCCTTGCAACCCAGTGCACCCGAGTGTCCATATCTGCTCCACGTCTGTTGTCCTCTCTAGATACCTCACTTAACAGAAAATTTTGCTGTTTTTAGTGAGGGGCTATTATGAACTATTTCACTAAAACATTCATGTGAAAAGGATGCTATTTTATTATGGGAAGTAACATTTTTCTTAGGTCACTCATGTCATTTCTAGGTACTGTGTTTGGTTGTTTTTAAATACTTAATTGATCATGATTGTACATGTTTTTAGGGTATAGTACCTCACGCAGTCATATATGCCTACACATTGTACCCCAATCAGATCAGGATAATCGGCATATCTATACTGTCATCTCTTATATGTATTATTTCCCTATGTAAAGAACATACAAATCCTTTCTACTAGCTATTTTGAAACATGCACTTTAATGTTATTATTTGTTGGTTATTTTTATATAACAAACATTTTATATAACAAATATATATTTTTGTATGTATGTAAGAATGTGGTATATGTAGAATACTTACATTTAAGAGGCATAAGTCTGAGTGTGCACAAGGCCAGAGGAAGAGGCCTATCAGAGGATGGATGTTTTGTATCCTGTCTATCTGCCTTATTCGGGACAGGCTCTCTTTCTGAACCTGTAGCTAGGCTTAGGAGCCAGCAGTCCCCTGCCTCCACCCTCCACATGCCCATCAGGAATATAATCCCAATGTGGTCTTCTGATTTCTCTGGACAACTGAGAGCTACAGCCAGACGCATTCTGCCTAGATTTCAACATGGCAGCCATGGACTGGAACTGACGATGCTGCACCAGTGTCTCTTCAGGCAACTCTGAACTATATCGAACTGTGACTTATAGAATTCAAGTCCCCTCTGAGAAACTGAGTATACTAGCAGGCCCCAAGGGCTAATGGAAGCAGACTTTCAAATACGTATTTGAAATCCACCAGGCTGGGCGCTCTTCCTCCCCTCCTTCTCACCTTGTAATGTCTTCTCTCAGGATAGCTGCCATTTGGTGGCTGGTAGGCGACTTGCATGCCACTGAGATCCTCCCAGGTGAATGAAGAGATGGGTCTGGTATGATCCAGCAGGTGGGTCACATAGCCCTGGAGTGGGGCCTTAGTGACGTTGAACACCAGTAAGGGTTTTGGTGTCTCATCCTCCTCACAGTCCAGAACCGAAGTTGTCAGGGGGGTCAGTATGAACTGGTCCACCTCCAGAACAAACATGGCCATGAACGCAGCCCTTGGGGGCTGGTTAGGAATGCCAGCTCTGATATAAACTGGCAACCACGCACTCTCTGACTTTTGAAGGAGAAAGAAAATAAAAAGGAAAGAATGATATGAAGATGTGCTGTGTGTGGCTCGTGTCATGATACGCACTGAAGCTGCAGACCAGAGGATGCCCCAGCTGGGAGCACCAGCTACATGTTAGGATCACCTGCTTGACCACCAGAAACTATTTTCAGATGTTTGCTTAATTATTCCAAGGAGAAAATTAGAAAGTTGACACTTTAGAGCTCCCCAGGGACTCCAATGCACACAAAAGGTTCGGAATGGAGACCCCACTTTGATATCAGAAAGAACTATGTGTGTGATTATATCTTTAAAAATTATATATTTATTTTAGAGTGTGAATGTGTATGTATGAGTATATGCATCACTTTCATGTCAGATCCCACGGCGGTCAGAAAAGGATATTGGGTCCCCTGGAGCTGGAGGTATAGGTTGGTTTGAGCCACAGTGTGAGTGCTGGGAACCAAATCCAGGTTCTCTGCAAGAACAGTGGTTGTTCTTAACTCCTGAACTGTCTCTCCAGCCCTGTGATAGTCTCTTCAGTATTTGTTATTTGTATGATGTTAGACAGGTTCGTAATTCCTAAATCCCATGCTCCTATCACCTACAAGTGAAAACACTAGAAGCCTATGTATTAAATGAAACTGTGACAGTAGAGCACCAGGTACCTGGCACAGACACCACTAATCTCCTTGGGCCATGTGGTTTCAAAGAGGGCAGGGAAAGCTGGGGAAGAAGGGTCTTCATGCCTTCATGTGTACTTATGCAACTGAAGGAGGACTATCCATTTGCCTAACGGAACAAGGAAACAACAAGAGACCCCTCAAACTAGAAATTCATCCTCCCCAATGAGGGTGCCACAGTGAGAGACTTTCTGCACTCACAGAAGGGCATCATGGCGTCCGAGGTGTCTGTTAGGGGCACGAGCAAGAGGAAGCCTGAGAGCAGGAAACCCTTCTGTTATGGGACTGACATGACCCACTGTTGAGAGAAGCAGGTTCAATGATCCAAGTCACATTTGTCCCACACGCCTAAACTCCGGGGTAGGGAAAGGATGTTCAAGTTCTTCTTCACTTTATCTTAGCTGAAAGAGTGAACTTATCCTGAAGTTCACAACAATGAATACATTCATAAAAATGCACATAGTTTTTAGTTCTCAAAATCAGTACTTTTTAATGAAAAAACTTGACCAGAAATCTATCACAGAATTTTGAGACCCATTAAAACAAGTTTAATGAGGAAAAAAATTTAAGAATAAATAAATAGATAAATAAGAGACATCAGATCTCAAGAGTAAGAAAGATGCTGTAGTCAAAATGTATGTGAGTCTGTTGGTTCCAGACTCTGGAATACTCTCGTTCACTAGAGGAATATGAAAATCTCAAGAGAGATGAGAGAAGATTTATCTGGAAAGAAGGGTGCTGTGCTGAGTCCCAGCCAAGCCCTCCGAACCCACGAAGGCTGAGGCTGGTGTAATACCATGTCTCTTATCTCAGGTATCAAGAGAGAATGCTCTTGTAGAGTCCTCCAGGTAGAGCATGCAGAGGACTGCTTCAGAGCCCACCTTCAAGAACGCTAAATTACAAGAATCAGAATAATGCTGGCTAATCCTCATTTAATCCTTGGGGGGTCCAGAATTTCCATTCATAAGTGGGAAGACCCTGAGACTTAAGAGCTAGAGATCTTGTTTAGATTCAACCTGTCCTTTTGTATATCAGTAAATGACATGTGACTGCTCCCATGCCATATGGGGCAGAGGACTGCTTTGGGGCCATCCTGGATCCTGAATTATGGGGACCATCCTTCAGAGGCCAAAAGTCTAGCAGCATTAAACTGGAGAAATAAATCATAGTCTACTGACTGCAGAAAAATTGCAGGTGGTAGCTCAGGCTAGATGGGAGTGAACCCTTCATCCCTTCTAAGACAGAGGGAGAGGCTCTGAGACAGAGATTCCCAGAGAGATCAGGAAGTTGTCCCCGAGACAAGAAAGCAGCTTGAAATATCTGCCAAGCTCAGAGAGCATGGAATCATAATCTATCAGTTCCTGAGCAAGTAAGACCTTTCTTCCCAGTACTCTTTCCTCTCAATGTTCCAGCCCAAGCACCAGCCAAAGGTTCCGCAAGTAGCCAGCGACGTCTGGAAGAAGAGATACTCAAAAGAGAATCAGAAACTTGCATGCAAATAGTGGGAACTAGAAAAGATCATCCTGAGTGAGGTATCCCAGAAGCAGAAAGACACACAGGGTATATACTCACTTATAAGTGGATATTAGACATATAATATAGGACAATAATACTAAAATCTGTACACCTAAAGAAGCTAAGCAAGAAGGAGGACTCTGGGTAAGATGACCAATCCTTATTCAGAAAGGCAAACAGGACAGACATTGGAAGAGGAAGAAAACAGGAAACAGGACAGGAGCCTACCATAGATGGTCTCTGAAAGACTCTACCCTGCAGGGTATCAAAGCAGATGTTGAGACTCATAGCCAAACTTTGGGCAGAGTGCAGAAAATCTTTTGAAAGAAGGGGTAGATAGAAAGACCTGGAGGGGACAGGAGCTCCACAAGGAGAGGAAAAAAAATCTGGGCCCAGGGATCTTTTCTGAGACTGATATATCAACCAAGGGCCATACATGGTAATAACCTAGAACTCCTGCACAGATGTAGCCCATGGCAGCTCAGTGTTCTAGTGGTTTCCCTAGTAAAGGGAACAGGGACTGTCTCTGACATGAACTCAGTGGCTGGCTCTTTGATCACCTCCCCCTGATCAGGGAGCAGTCTTACCAGGGCACAGAGGAAGACAATGCAGCCAGTCCTGATGAGACCTGATAGGCTAGAGTCAGATGGAAGGAGGAGGACCTCTCCTATCAGTGTACTGGGGGAGGGGCATGGGTGGAGAAGAAGGAGGGAGGATATGGTTGGGAAGGGATGAGGGAGGGGGCTACAGTTGGGATACAAAGTGAATAAACTGTAATTAATAAGAAAATTAATTTTAAAAAAAAGAGAATTAGAGGAGACAGCCCTCTTTGCCCCTACAGCATACTGACAAGGAAGAGAGACAGTCTGCGGTACCCCCAGGACAAAAGTGACTGTCCCTGAAGTGTCACTGGAAAGGAACAATAAAGGTAAGTGTGGTAAAGGCTGGGCCTGAATAATGAGACCAAGTAAGTGTAGAGCTAAACCTAAGTAAATGTATTCTTTGAAATGTCAAAAGAGCAGGCAGGGGGGATACAAACACCAATAGTTCTGTCTTACTTAAAAGATAGATGATGTAAGAAATAATAGGACACAACAGCCTTATGTTAGAAATGAAATTGCCAATAGTGTTAGTAGAGCCTTGGAACTGCCAGAAGAAAAGATAGATTGGATCACTCTTCATCAAGCATAGGAAAGACTCAAAAGAGGCCCCTGCATAATATTAACATAGGTTAAGTAATATTAATATAGGTTGCTTGCTCTTTTGTGGTGCAAACCTTGTGCACGCTAGAAAAGCACTAAGTGGATATTCCCAGCCTGTGGGATACTTTTTAATTTTAAATAAAGCATAAAGTAGAGGAAAGGACCTTTGAATATCTAAAAATAAAGTCATGAAATATACTGTAGTCTATAAGACAGGTGTGTATATGAGTATGTGTCTGAGTGTGTGAAGGTGTGAGTGTGTGTGTGTGTTACTGAGAATCAAATCCAAGGCTTTACACATGCTAGGCAGACATTTTCTTTTTAACTGACAAGTATACATGGATAAGATGATGAAAAAATCCACGTGTATCTATTATCACCATAATAGAGTTTATATTTCCTTAATCAAGAAAAATACCTAAAATTTTGAAGAAAATGTCTAGGTGTAGGGACCTCATAGAAAAGACACTTGAAATTCATAGAAAGATTGAAAGTAAGCGTCTAACCCAAGTTCGTGATGTGAAAAAAGAACAGAGTGGCCACATTCATTTCAAATAGATGGAATCAAGGCAGGAAGCATTGAAAAGGACAATGCGTACAGCTGAAATAGAGAGCATACCCAAGACAAAAAATGCCTGTAAGCAACATTATATTTAGTATTGTTCTGGTCAAACCAGTGTGGAAGAGAGCAGAAGTGAAAGGAATAATTACAGAAAAAGAAAGGCCCAAATTATCATCATTAGTAAAGATATAATTATGGTCCTTTGAAGCCCAAAGAATTGAAAATTTCTTAAAATAATTGAATTTAGGAAAGAAGCCAGATAAAAGAAAATTATACCAAAAAGTTGTTTTCCTATTTATCATCAATAACCAATGAAAAGACACCATTCTGTTTTCGGTAGTTTCACAAGAACTTGTAGGGACTGGATTTAGTAACTGTCTTTTCTTTGTGTAGACACATGAAATGACATTTACCAAGAGAGGAGAGAGGTGTTCGCTATGAATGAGAAGACCGAGAGTGGCAAAGTGCTGACACACCAATTCCTCCTCAAAGAATTTTCAGTTTTAATCTAGAATTTGGTTCTAAACAGCTTTTAGGCTTTAAAAATCACCTATTTAGTTATATGGAATAGTTATTTATATGGAATGGCAAGAATGGCCAAGAAAATTGTAAGGACGAGAGGTGCCAGGCCTTCACTGTCAGGAGTCAGGTCACGAAGCTGATTTAGAGAGGTGTGGTACCGACAAAGCAAGAAGCAGAGGAAGCTAGAGAACAAAAAGTTAGCCTATTGGTCTTTTTATACAACAGAAGGATTCCCCACAATCCATGAGAAACAAGTGCATAATTTTTAACAAATAGCTCTGTAAATTTTGACCATATGAAGAAAAACTATTTCCTGCACTTCTCTGTGCAATAGAATTTAACCTTGGGTGTTACAAAGACGAAGATAAAGAGAATGGCCTTTAAAGGCATAGAAGAAATCAGCCTGGGATTTCAGGCTTCAGGCTTTCAGCAATCAGTGTTGCTCAGTGGAGAGAGCACTTGGCCAGCACACATGAGAGCCTCCATGCAACCCCCAGGACGATAATAATTAATTAATTAATTAATGTAGAAGAAAGAAAACTTATGAGGGAGAGGGCATTTGGTTCCTTGGCAAGAATGATTTGCAGAGCCATAAAAGTAACCAAAGAGTGAATGGAATTTTATGTAAGAAGTGGGAAATAGTAAGAGCTGGAGGGGACGGGAACTCCACAAGGAGAGCAACAGAACAAGATAATTTGAACACAGGGAACTTCCCAGAAAATCATACTCCAACCAAGGACTATTCGTGGAGATAACCTAGAACCCCTGCACAGGTGTAGCCTATGGCAGTTCAGTGTCCAAGTGGGTTACATAGTAATGGGAAGAGGGACTGCCTCTGACATAATCTGATTGGCCTGCTCGTTGATCACCTCCCCCTGAGGGGGGAGCGGCCTTACCAGGCCACAGTAGAGGACAATGCAGCCACTTTTGATGAGAACTGATAGACTAAGATCAGAAAGGAGAAGAGAACCTCCCCTATCAGTGGACTCGGGGAGTGGCATGCATGCAGAAAGGGGAGGGAGGGTGGGATCGGGAGGGGAGGAGGGAGGGGCTTATGGGGGGATACAAAATGAATAAAGTGTAATTAATAAAAAAAATAAATAAAAATAATAATAAAAAAAGTAACCAAAGAATAAGACTTCACAGAGAAATTGATGCCAAGCAACAAAACGATCTCTGTGGTACACGGCCCCCTGCTGTGTGTCTCTGTGTAAGAAAATGGTTATCAATAAAGTCAGTTCCATTTTCTTCTCACATTCTCATGCTTTTAATGTTTTCTTCAATGAGTACACTATCTTCATATTTATAAATGAATATGTTGTATGACTTGTCAAAATGACTACATAGTAGGTTAAGGCTTAAAAAAATCAAGAGGCTCATTTCAAAGGACAGTCACACAATAAAACTGACCTAAAAACACAAATAAAGGCTTTGACACAGTGAGGGGACAATTTGGAAAATCAAATTGTCAGAAAGAAGAATATCTAACTTTTTTAATGGCGGTAAGAAGTCATTGATGATGAAAGGAGTTTTTGTGACAAACAAACCAGACCAGATGTGTTAGTATAGTAGAATCTAGTTTTGATTCTGTCAGCCATAAGAAAACCACATGTAAATAGCAAGACTGAAACAAGAGACTGGGCTGCACTATTTTTTCGAAACTGAATGATCACAGGTTCTTTCTGTTGGTGGCTATTTAAGCTAGCAAAAACATGCACACATTTAATATGAGCCAAGCTTTACAGCAAGCACTTTATAAGGATTGTCTCACTTAATCCCCTCAGTTACTTAGGCGGTGGCTAAGTTCCAGTAGCCTCATTTAAGATGAAGAAAAGGAGACATAAAGTCCAAAATCAGATGAATAGTTAAAAATATATCTGAACTCAGGCAATCTGAGTACCAGCACCCAGAGCTGTTAGCTACAGACAGGGAAACCTGGCATTTGAAAACCTTCCCAGCTGATTTGGCTGATCAGTTACACAAGATTCCCTCTAAGTCCTATTTCCAGATCTCAACTATAAAATTCTGTGGACTTGTTTCATCATTTTTAACCCTTTAGGGAATCTCGTTCCTTGGGTAATGATGTTCACCATTAGACAGGATTTATTAGAACTGCTAGCGGGAGGGCCAGGGTAACGCTGGCAGGCCCACCCAAAGTCCCATGGATCATCTCATCTTGGCATAAATCTGACCTACATCACCAGGGCCACTGTTTCCCCGGTTTCCCAAACAAACTGTAGAATATGTGAACAGTAGAGAAACACGCTAAATATTTTGTAATGTCTTGTCTACTTTTGGCCATATTTTCAGTAAAAAAAATGAAAGGAGGAAGGCAAGGGAAATGAAGACACAGAAAGATCTGGGCTTTTGGGAACTCATCCCTTGGTGGGCCAGCCCTCTGTTCTAAGGTCTGAAACTGCACAAACTATACAGTCAGCTGTAGCCACGACACCCAGCTGTCATGTGGCCTTACAGAGCATATGCCTTGATGTCAAGGAGAAAAAGTGGTATTTACAAAGGATCAGCCCATAAACTGAAATATTGAAGAGGGGCCAGGGTGTGCGTATGTGGCTGAATCTACTCTTACCACACACGAGGTTTCAAGTTCAGTCTTCCGTGCATGCGCATGCTTGTAGACACACACACACACACACACACGTATACATAGGATGTAGAAGAGGTTAACATGGAAATAGCCCCAGTCCATTCCTCCTGGTGTGGAGCTATAGAAGAAACGAAGATGAAAATGGCATGCTAATTTTACATGCCTAAGCTGCTGGTTGAAGTTCTCTGAGGCACACCCCAGAAGCCTGAAGTCGTGCCCTCAACAGCACAGGAACTCTTCTGCACAGACGCAGCACGGGCACCCCGACGGAACTGCTTTCTTACAACGAACCAGCTAAGGACACCAACACATGACTCCAAACTCTACCTTGTATACGGTTTTACTCCTCCTGTCCGTGAGATCCAGCTGGATGGGGATATAGTCAATGTTGGGTGAAGGGGGCTGCAGGTGTTGGTAGTGAAACCCCGTCAGCAGGAACTCCTCACAGCTCACTTTCAGACTTGCCACTTTCTTCAGTTCCAGGGCACAGCTTCCATGTGGGCACTTCAGTCCTGGCCCCAGCTCTAGAATGCACAGCACTGCATTAGCACAGCCACTTGAACACAATGATTGTAGCAACTCAAAACCTATCCTCCTGCCTCAGACATGTCTTCACTCACTGCCCCAGGACACATATGCATGTCTCTTCTGATTATTCACTGACTAGACTGCCATTGTTCTGAAAAATCATCAATTCCTTTACTGAAAACAAAACACAGAAACAAGACCTGGGTGGCCAGTTGTCTCCCCACGCCTTGCCCACCAAGAGTTGGGCTGAGGAAATTAAAGAGGGGTTCTGTGGTATCTGAATACCCCTGACAAAGATACCGTGGCCCACTGTGGACATTCACAGCCCAGCACCGTGTCTGTCTATTTACATTACACAGCCTCGTGTGGAGTGCCTACCACAGAAATCCCTGCCCCTGGCTGGTCTTTTTAGGAAATCCTCTCTTAACTCTCTGGCCCCTTGGGCCAGCCTGTTCTGACTTTTTGAACCCACAGTTATCCCTAAAAGCCTCCGTCTTTTCCGACTTTATTTTCCCTCTGCTGGGGGAGTAAGGCTCAGTGACCCTCAATTCCATAATATATGAAATACTCTGTTTTTTAAAAATTTTTACTGATTCTTAGTGAATTTTACATCATGCACCCCAATCCTACTAACCTTCTTGTCCCTGCAAACCCACCTGTGCCCCTGCAACCTCCCCCTTGAAAAGAAAACAAAATATGAAAATAATGACAATAACGATAATAATAATCTTGCTGTGGAAGCTGCAGCGTGTCACGGTGTGTTACACAGTATACCTTTTTGTCCCAGATAGCCCCACCCTTACCTGGCAAAGGGAGGAGAGATGGACCTGATGGTACAAGAGAGCTGGCAGGCAACATAGCGACCACCCAAGCCCAGATCCAGGGCTTGAGTTAGCCTACCCCAGCATCTACCCCATCTGTGAACTGCTGGAGTGCATGAAGGGGCCAGTCCTGCAGAACCAAAGCTGCAGGGCCTCCGTGACACATGGCAACAACAGGATAGCCCAGAGGAGTCCCAGTGCGGATCCAGTATTGATAACACAGCAAAAACCAAAGGCTTGAACCAGACCAGTGGCTCGTTGCAAGGAGCATTTGCAAGTAAAGCTGTTTGGGTGTTCTACTTTTTACTCCAAGGGCTGCAACAACAAAATGGCATGACTGCTGGGCCTGGTGAAACACGCCTTCAATCCCAGCACTCAGGGAGGCAGAGGCAGGCGGATCATTGTGAGTTCCAGGCCAGCCTGATCTACAAAGTGAGTCCAACACAGCCAAGGTTACCCGGAGAAACCCTGTCTTGAAAAACAAAACAAGGGGCTGGCAAGATGGCTCAGAGGTTAAGAGCACTGGCTGTTCTTCCAAAGGTCCTGAGTTCAATTCCCAGCAACCATATGGTGACTCATAACCATCTACAATGTGATCTGATGCCTTCTTCTGGCCTACAGACACACATGAAGGCAGAATACTGTATAAATAATAAATAAATCTTTTAAAAAAAAAAGAAAAACAAAACAAATGACATGACTGATATTTATTTTTAATTGTTTTAGATGTAACCTTCTGTCTAAAATTCAATGTAATAATACTCAGAAAGAATACACTGCTCTCCCCACCGCTGTTTGTTGCTATAATCATAGCTGGAAACTCATGAGCATGATAATGGGCCAACCCTTGGCTAAGCACACAGTATCCTACTCCATCTTTACACAGCCCTACGGAATGGCTGTTCACTTTACCATCTTGAACCCACTGATAACCAAATTAGCAAAGAAAAAATACAAACAGCAATTCCAGGTATTTCTGATTCTGACCCCCAATTCACAGCCTTAACTAACCTACATTATTTTCTTTCTGTTTTCTTTTTTTTTATGTTTTTAGTCGTATTTTTATTTTATTTATTTTGTGGAAGTCAGTTTCCCCCCTCTACCATGTAGGTTTGATGATCAAATTCAGGCCATCAGGCTTGGAGGCTAGTGTCCTCACCAACTCAACCATCCTGCTGGTGTGTGTGTGTGTGTGTGTCTGTGTGTGTGTGTGTGTGTGTGTGTCCAAAAGAACCGGAACTTCAGTGTGAGCGTGGAGGTCAGATGACAATGTGGAGGAGTAGGCTCTTTTACACCATGTGGGCTACAGGTGTTGAACTCAGGTTTGGTGACTGTGCCTTTCCCTACTGAGCCATCTCACTAGCCCTAACTTACAGTTTTCAACAAGGTAAAAATTCATTTGTTAAGCAGAGCTCTTTGTCAATGTGAAAGATGAGCATTTAGTCAGTTGTAGTAACCTTAGCTATTAAGAGGTACATACGGGTCTCAGAGAAAAAGCTGTGTGGCTGATCTCCACGAGGCCCCTCTGGCTTACGGTTCACCACAACCAGCCTGCCGTGAGCTGGCAGCTGGGTCCTCACTGAGTCCAGTCTAATGGTGCAGTCCAGACTGGCTGTCCTATCATAATCAAACTGGAGCAGGTTCTTATCAATGGCTTGGGATAAGCCATAGAATTCAGTCACTTCCAGCGCATTGCCGCTCAGACGGATGATGTTACAGTCAGGTTCCACGAGGAAGACCCGCAAGAGAAAGGTTTCCATGAAGGTGTCTGTTTCGGTAAATCTGGACAAAGAGTAGGATAAAGGCAGTGTTTATTGGTGCCCAGGTTGCCCCTTGTGAGTAGAGATGCTGATGTATGCCTCTAATCCCAGCTGACATACTTCCTCTGAGAGTGTCAGCTCAAAGTCCAGGAAGGGAGACCGGAGGTCCTGACAGTATTTCCCCAATATCTTACCATATCTCCTCCATTCAGACTCAAACAAGGAGGCCTGTCAGGCAATCCAGGCTTTTTAATAAAACTCTTTGATGAGTTTTATTACCGTCTGAGGACAGCCCAGGATACAGACCATGTTTGAGGCTAGACCCTATTTCAAAGAAAATCAAAGCCAAAACAAAATAGCAACAAAAATTGTTCTTCACAAAATGTCTATTTCAGATGGAGTTCAATTCCAATTCCTTCTGTTCCCATGGCTTCATCTCTACCTTTGTGGTAATGTTTTTTCTTGTTACTTCCTTCCTTAACCATCTCTCTCGCAAACCCTGCTCCCAAATTCATCATCTATTCTAATCTAATGACTGCTGAGATGTCAGAGTTCCACTTCTAGCACATGAATAATTTAAGAGCTTAAAGTCTGTATAGTTTATGGATTGACTTTGGATTTAGGAGTGAAGTATTGAGTATCAAGAACTTTTATCCTTCAGAAATGCCAATTTGGATGTTCAGATCAGCACTTGTCATATAAACTAAATGGGTAATTGTTAATGCCATAGTGATTATGTTCTAGAGTGTCTGCAGAGGTGACTGGAGATGGAGCATCATGCTATAGAAGTGAGAAGGGCAATAAATGATGAATGCACCCTGACAATACAACTCTGAATGGATGCATTTGTAATATAGTCCAGGTGTTTTAATAAGGCCTTCACCACAAGTTCATAAGAACCTGTAACAGGCATTGTCCATCCCCTTTCACCAATGAGGCACAGAAAAGTCAAATAGCCTGGCAAAAGCTGAAGAGGAGATTCAAGGGTAGCCTTGAATCTTGCCTCCAGCCTTTCTGAATGCTCTATTACAAATGCCCTTAAACCAAGTGCCTGAGAGCACCTCCACTGCAGGCCTGCATGAGCCCTTCCCAATCTTCCTACACGCTATAAAGCCAACAAGGTCTGGAAGCCAAAAGAATAATACATCAGTTTTCCTAGCCTTCCCTGGCAAGCTCTTTCACCTTGATTTGGTTTTAACTCTAAAGTTTGGAAAGATCAAACACCCCTCCATATTGATGCTGTAGCTTCCTAGGGAATCCTGGGTGCCATTTCACTATTTGAGAACATTTTGTTTGTGACTTTCTTTTGGTGCTTGCAACTTAGTCATTCCCCAGTTGCCCCTCCTCCAGCCTCTGGGAACCATTAATCTACTTTCTGTTCCTCTGGACACGCCCCTTAAGACATTTCATATAAATGGAGCCACGTAATACTTGTTCTTTTGTGGCTGGCTGTTTTCATTTGGAACCATGTTTTAATTCATGACTCCATTAGTTTCTGTTGCTATTCTAATATTCTAATATTCCATTGTACAGTTATGCAACTCATCAGTTTGGTTCACTCGGCATTTTAGCTATTCTGAATAAGGCTTTAAGGTTACAATTTTGTGTAAGCTTTTATATAAGTATAGGTTTTCTCTTGTGTATATAGGTGGGAAATGTTTTACAGGATTATATGATCAATCTAGGCTTAATTTCATAATTGATTTTAAACACTTGTATTGTTTAATGTTTACAAATGGAAAACTCTTGCACTTCCTATAACTGAGCAGCTGGCAATCAAACTGGAGGATTTCACTCAGTTTTGTAATAAATGTCTATCAGATTCTAATAAGGAACTTGTGTTTGTGATTCTCACCACAAAAAGGGTTGGACTACCAAAGTTAAGCAATGGGACGGAGTAACAGAAACATCTGCAAAGGACTAGGGGGGAACGAAATAAAGTTAGCAATCTGTAGAAAGGCACCAAGGAGGAAGAGGCAAAAGGAACTGAAAACTGGCTGAAACTGCTGCACCACCCACTCGGACCTCTAATTTCTGATGATTACTCTCTTACTGTATTCTAGCAACTCCCACGTGGTAACATATAGGCATAGAAAATGCCCAAGGAGTATGCAGCGTGACTATCCGGCAAAAATAAAATCAACAATCGGAAAGAATGTATTATTATTATCCACTTACCTGTATAATCTAAGCTTCACAGAGTCTTCATCAAGAATTGGGCATCCATTGTGAACATACTTTACTTCGTTGGGAAGGAAATGGCAATCAAAGACCTAATGCACGTGAAGAAAAAAATGTCTATGAGAAAAACAGCATGAAGTTTTATTTCCCAGCTCTATAGTAGTGCCTGAAGAACAACTATGTGCTAGCTGGTCGTGGTGACACACGCTTGCAATCCCAGTACTTGGAAAGCTGGTGCAGGAAGATCTATGTGAATTCAAGGCCAGTGTCAATGCAAAGCAAGCAAGCAAACAAACGAAAACAAAACTCCTTAAATGGAGTAAGCGATAATTTATTCTGGAGCCATTTTGAACGATCATGGCCTAGGAACACAGATTTAGGTTATCTTGAATTCCATGCTCCCATGTGGAAACAGTTTCATGGAGTATTATAGGTTTACAGAACAAAAAAAGTCATTAAATAAAGGTAAGTTTAAACTATGTTGATGGTACATCAAAGGGGTGGTTCTAGCAAGATGGGGAAAGACTGATGTTTGTTTAGCCTCAGATGTTATCCGACGACAGCCGTTGCTTTGAGGTTGGTAGAAGCCAGCAGTCCACTGAGTTAACAGATTTCTGTTAGTCACAAATTGCTAGATCCTACACAGAGGTGGGCAAGTAACAGCTCTTTGGTCTCCGGACAGACGACATGCCAAGTCTCCACATCGCTGAGGCTTTAATCAGTCAGTCAGTCTCAGCAGGCACAGCTTCTTTTCAAGGTTCTTGTTCACGCCAGCCTGGGCTGTTTAGCAAGACTCCCCCTCAAGAAGAAAGGGGGGGACAGCAAGCATGCCTATGTTCTATTCGTAGCGTGGTGCAAGTATCTTTTTATCACCAACAAGCTCTTCTCTCTACCCCCATGCCCACTCATCATCTTGTTTATAGTTGTGTCTTGTTTTGTTAATATTTAAATTATAATAACCCAAACAGGCCAAAGAAACAAATGAATGGATATTACACCTCTAAACTATAATGTTTTGTAAATATCACAAAAAAATATAAGTTCCCTTCAGGAACTTGTAGAATTAGAGAGGTCTTTTTTGGGTGTCTGGACAGCACATTTACCCACGCACAAACATTGTTCTGTGTGGTTTTATCCTTCCTTCGTTTTTCAAATAAAGTCTTTCTGTTCAAAGATGGAGACACTAGTTGTGGGTAGTGCTACATTGATGAGGACCAAACAGGATCTATAGTTGTTTCTCACACACGTGCAGACAACTTTGATAGTTACAGAAAAAAGCAAATGGCTGATGAGAATCTAAGACAATTTACTCTCCTTCAATAAAGTTATAATTAACCGTATCACCTCATAGAGAATCACACACACACACACACACACACACACACACACACAAGACTATTTTATATTAGGACTCTGGGTTTTTGTTCTGTGTTTTTAAGACTCCCTGCCCTGACAGAGGTGGCAAAGTTCTGAGAAACATCCTGTGTGTCCACACACAGCTGCTGCGGTGTGCTTAGCACCTTTTATGGCCTGAAACATTTCTAGAGACAAAATCCACACTGGGAAGACATTCTCACAAGTAAGAATGAGTTTCGAGTCCTCTTTTGAATTGACAACCAGGAAGAGGATAAAGGGAAACCCTTCCCATATCATTGACAAATAGCCATGGTAATAAAGAGACAATCTGCTTTGTTAAAAGAAACATCTGTTCCGTGTTTCCTAATATGTTTTCCTTTTATAAAAGGCGACAACCATGATTGACCATAAATTTACCAACTAAAACAAAGGAGAGCTAAATCCTTTTCTAATTACTGTCTAGCTTTGTTTTTTTCCACTTCAACTGCTTTTCAATTACAATTTATAATTAAATTGTCACACATTCCTGACTCATTACTCACTTTAATGACAGTGAAGTGGTTCAAACTAGAGATGTTTTCTTAATGCTGTATTTCAGATTCAAAAGCAGCAAGCTCAGCACTAAACCAAGGTGATTTTCCACCCAGAAAACGTTTTGTTTTGGTCCAGGTGTTGAGTGCTGGAGAAGTCCTGCCCTGGAATGTGAGAGCACACTGTCACTGGCCTGTCTAATTGGCTATCCAGGAGATTGTAGACACAGAAGGCACGAGCATGAACCCACGCAAGTGGCTTTCCTAATATGCAATGGGAATGAACCTGTTGGTTCCAAGACAAACTTCAGTAATGAAATGAAAACACTAATTGAACAGCTGTTAAACAAAGCATTTCTGTGCAAATCCCACAAAACTGTTCATTTCACAGCAGGGTGTTGCTAATACAATAGTCTTGCTAGGAATAAGGCTAGCTCGGAGTTTACTGTTAAGCTCTATTAAGGAATAATGTTTGTTTAGCTGTGAATGTGTGTGTGTGTGTGTGAGAGAGAGAGAGAGAGAGAGAGAGAGAACATGTGCACTTACGCACTTAGCCATACTTAATTCAAAAACTCATAATAAATAAACCCCTGGGAAGAGCTGAACCACTCTGGATTTAAAACAAGTGTACATTTTCCTCAAATCAGACTTTACCTGGGAATCTTATTTTTGCTAAAATTATTAGAACTTAAAATTACAAAAAAAAAAAAAAAAACTGGGAAGAGACGGTGTTTCTATACACACATCTATGGCACATGGTCTACCAGGAATGAAGCTTACAGTTTCAGTGGGCCACCAAGAAACAAATTTCAGAATGTAAAGGTCACATGTCTACCTGTGATGCTGCAAATCCACTGTCTATGTCATATTTACTCCTAGAATCACACACATACACTCAGCACCAGATAACACCTTTTCAAATAATCAGCAGACGCCAGATAAGAAGATGTTCTGAAACAGTCACGAATTTCTAATCTAGTTGGGTGTTTCGTTGTCTCTGTGGCATAATATCTTCTTAATAACTAGATTTTAGCCTTAAAAATCAGAGAAAATTTGATACAGAGGTGACTTGGAGACCTTAATCATGCATGATTTACCTTTGTCATTCTGGGGTCTGAGTATGTCCTTAAAATGTGCCCAAACTAACAGGACCAACTAATAAATCAGCCTAGTAGCTTGCTTTCTTCTCTAAAGATACTTTACTTGCAATGAGTGGGAGAATTTGGGGCCAGAATAACCCTATAAAGCTGGCCATAGCATGCCCTCCAAGAGACTCCTCACTACAGTCTGTCTTTCTGTCTCTCTTTTAATCTTTCAATATCAGCCTCTTTCTCAATCTCTCTCAATCTTCCTCTTTCCCTCTTCATTCTCCCCTTTCTCTCCCCTTCCCCTAAAATGAAAGACCAAGAAACCTGGGATTTTCTTACACTCCCTCTCCCTTTTTAAAATTATTTATTCACTTTATATCCCACCCCAGACCCCTCCCATCTCTCTTCCCTGTCCCACCCTCCCTCCTTCTTCCCTGTCTCTCCTCCCCTGTAGTCAGGACTTAATCTGACATAGACTCTGTTGCCTTCTCTGCTACATTCTCTTTTTTTCTGACAGAATTAATGTCCACTCTGTAAGGTCAAGCACCTGGTAAGACATGGAAATTCTCTGCGGTGAGCAGAGACACCGGAAAGGTTCTTGACAACTGTGCATTGTTATGAAAAAGTGTGCACACATCTGTAGGGGTTTAACCCTCACTTCCTGCAATGTGTTAATATAATTCAGTTAAACCACGTCAGTGACAGGTTTATTATCTGAATCCAGTCAAGAATATCCAAAAATAAGGCTGGCAAGATAACTCAGAGGGTAAAGGCATTTGCAACCAAGCCCAATGACCTGTTTAATCCCTACAATTCAAAGAGAGAACCAACTCCTGAAATTTGTTGGTTAGCCTCCATAAGCATGTCCATGTCCAGAAACAAAATAAATGAAATAAAATAAATGTTAACCAAAACTATGTTTCACCTCTTTGAAAAAAAAAAAAAAAGCACTAAGATACTGTGGCCATGCCTTAATTTCAAATGTGATACATACTTGTAACAATGGCTTGACAGACACTTTACCTGTTCCCTCTGCCTTCCTACACTGTATACACACACACACACACACACACACACACACACACACACACTTCTGAATGGAAATGAAATGTGTACCTGTGGAGTGAGTTTTCCAACCCTCTGGGTGATTGGCTCATTCATCACCACCTCCACTCTGCAGGCATCCTTCTCTTTAGGGACGGCAAACCTCAGGTGATCTCCAGACAGGAAGGCAGAACTGCCCTTCATCACCCTCAGGCCCTGGTTGACACTGATGAAGGAGGTGCTGGTGGGGTCCAGGTGCAGCAGAAGCAGCTGGAGTAGTAAAGACAGTGGGGCCTTGGGCCCGGCACAGCTTGGAGAGTTCATGATGCCAGGGCCAGGTCTGCCCACAGGCACAATCCGCTCAGCAAAGCAGGGTTCCCGCACTTCCTCCTGGAGTGTCAGCTCGTGGTCCAGAGGGCAAGCAGGGGTCCCGACAGCATGCCCCAAGATCTTACCATGCCCCTTCCATTCAAACTCAGACAAGGAGGCCTTTCAGGCAATCCAGGCTTTTTAATAAAACTCGCTGATCACTCCTGACAACGCTGGCAAGATTAATGTCCCTCCCAAGTGCTTTCCTAATCCTGCAAACGGGAGAAGAGGTTGGAGGAAAATGAGAGAGACCAAAGGTTTGTGCAGCTATTTAAAGAACTGTTCCCAACAAAGGGATCTTTCAGCTGGCCTATAATTTCAGCTAAATTAAAAGCAAATAAACTAACTTGACCTTCAGGTCCATCCAAAAGGCAAGGAAGCCATTTCATTACTCTGCTTGTAGCTGTTCCTTCCGGATGCAGCGGACCTCAACTGGAATGTCAACTGTGTGGTCCTGCAGGATTCCCTGGCCTGGTTGCTAGAGCACAGCGGGAGGTCCTTCAAGTTCAGCCCAAGTGGTGTGCTCTCTGCTTTCACCTCCCTCTTTGTTAAATGTAAGCCACATTCTAATTTGTGTTAGAAACCAGATAGCATTATTTGTACCTCGTGTTAGAGCATGGATAATTCAAAATCAATAGGGTCCAGCCAAAAAGTACGCCTAACAATTGGTCCAATGAACTTAGGTGGGCAACGAGGTCACCTAAGATATTCTACAGTGAAAACTGGTGGAGGTGATTTTTTTTCTAAACCAACACTCAAGCTATTGTTTAAACAGTAAAGGAACTGCGAAGAAAGAGTGACATTGCTCAACGTGCTCAACTAACGGCACTGTATGAGCATGCATTTATATCCTCATCTACAAGGCTAATTCTGCCATCATGCACTTGATTGCCTCAGATGGAGTCGTTTCTCTTTGCCCAGCATCACCACTATTTTTTTCCTGCTCTAGAAGAACTGAGAAGACTTTAAAATAAGTGTATTAAAATGCCTCTCAAAACCCGGAGGGCATTTAGATGACTAGGGGCAGTTTATTATGCCCGTAAAAAGCCTCACACCAAGCCAAGGACAGGGCTTGGTGGTAGAGCTCTTGCTTTGAGAGGGCACATTTTCATAATTCAGTTTTTTCCTACAGAGGAACTCTAGAATAAGTAACCGGAAATGAAATCAGTGTCTGCAGATGTTCGCAAAAATGCCTGTAGCACTGCTTTCCCCTACACTGCTCCCTGCGCCGCCTGCTCTGCACGCCGGCTCCGTAAGTCCACCCCTCAGCAGCCCTAGCAGCACAGCAGCAGTGGAGCTGAGGCTTTGGTGCACACCTCAAAGAAGTCAAAATAAGAGTGGTTTTGCAAGACATGGATGCGATGGCCAAGAAGTTTAAGTTACCCATTTTGACAGCAAAAACTTCATCATAAAAATTCACAACACTTTGACAAGTAGTTTTCTTATAGTCTGTGAGAGAAGTCTGAAGAAACTACAGCCTACGGTGGAAAAACTCAGCCCGCTAACGATGATGCAGATGGCACACGGTTCCACAGAAGGAATGGAAGGGATGTTCATGCCCAGCAAGAGGCTGGGAAAAGCATGGGGGTTGGTAGGAATCGTGAGCAACAATGCCTCTTGTATGCAGGGTTATGGAAGAGTGAATCAAAGCCCCATCCTCGTCTTGGGACAGGATATGCTAAGACAGTGAGCAAGCTGGGCCCAATGCGCAGTTCTCCAAACAGAAGCTTTTCTTTTCTTTTTTTTTTTTTTTCTTTTTTTAAATCACCATGGTTTTTTGTTACCTTTACCACAAACATTCTAAATGAAATGATTTCAAAGCATGGGTTTCCATAGGTCATGTCTTTGATAGATAAGGAAATGTGTTTGCACCGATTTTACAAATGCCTTGTAAGATCTACCTCTAAGACATTAAACGGGAATTTGTTCCATGTCATTATTTGAAACCTTTCACAGATGGCATCTGTCCTGTGTCACCTGAGGGGGTGTAAGCTTTACAGACTGGCCTGTTTTTAATGATGTCGGTCCTAAAATAAAGCTGTTCACAGACTCCCACTGACCATGCTGTCCACACTCAAGCTGAATTGGCTTATTTGTGTAAAAATGCAAATTTGGTTGTGGAATTTTTTTCACAACAAAGTCAAATCTTTTTTTTTTTTTTTTTTTTTTTTTTTTACCATTTCCATTTGTCGTTCAAGACCACACAGAAAAGCAAGCCATTCAGGGAGAGAAGCGAGGGGTGGAGGAGAACACTACATTCTGGGATTCGGGCTAACCGAGTCAGCCAGGGCTCCTGGTCCCGGCCTTTGATGGCTTCTCACCCTTTCACTGCCTCTCTCTACACCACTCGGCTTTTTAAAACCACACTTCAATTTATTTGTGCATATGTGGACGTCTGTACAGGTGTGTAGTCAGAACATGCCCCACGGGACTTGGCTCTGTGCTTCCATCACACAGTTCCCTGGGTTGAACTCAGGCTCACCTCTCCTCTCTGAGCCCTCTCACCAGCCCCAAGCTGACATTTTAATGTTGATCACTGGGGTCCATTTCTTGGGACTATTTGTGTCCTGCCTGGATCCCCAGGGATGTTTCTTGGAACTGAATACCATTTGCATGCTAATGAGTCCCCCCTTAAGCCCTGACCTTCAGAGACATTTAAGTATTTCTTGTGGTCCCCACCTAAGTGTGTAGCAAGCATCTCCTTCCCTAAGTACCAAATGAAGCTCCTGGTGACCCCCAGTCTGGCTAAGTTAATCAATGGCAACTCCAACTTTTTGGCTGCTTCCTTTCTTGTCTCACTCTTTAAAACTCCAGGCAAAAGCCTGCTGGTTCCTGTTTGTTCTTGATGCTGTGTAGGTACCTGAGCAAATATAATTCTAGCCTTCTAGTATCTGAAAGGCCTTTCCCCTTAAAAGAACCTGTGACATTTTCAGCCAACAGGTGAAGGTGATTGGCGGCTGATTACATGACCTGTCACTGCATTTTAGGAGACAAAAGGCAGTCTTAGCGGAAGGATTAGGCTCTCCAGCTGATCTTGAAGCAGCAAACCTATATGAGTTTTCCTGCCACAAGGAAATAAATTCTGCAGACAATCAGAACGAGTGTCAAAGTGGATTCGCCCTAAGTCAGTCTCCTTGACTGGAGCCTATGGAGCTGAACCCATAGCAGAGAAGCTAGCAAAGGCACGAGTTTAACAGAAGCTGTAAAATTAGACACTGGATTCAAGCTGCAAAGGTTGAAGTGATTTGTTTATTCTGAGAAAAAAATCCATCGTCCTTAAAATATATCTGGAAGCTAAGCGCTACTTCCCACTTTCCGTTTATCAGTCTGGTCCGGTCTCCCATCGACTATGCTAAACACGGCAAACATGACAAAAAGCCTCCTGTCTGAGCCTCCCCTGTAAGCATTTCTCTGGATCAAGGCTGAGTTTCCTAGAAAAAGTTGTTTATGACAAAATGCTCAAAATGCCCCATAGTTTCTCATCTTTCGTAAAAGCAGAACACTTGAGAATGACCTACCTGGCAGAAGGCCATCTATTCCTCACCTCTGCCGTCTCAACCCCAACCCCACCCCCGGCCTTGCCATACTGCAACTCTACACAGCCATGCTAATATCTTTGCATTTCCTCAGTGAATCAGATGATTCTCTCTCCTTTCTCTCCCACAAAGGCTTCTCTGATTGTTGGTCACACAAACACACACGCACACACGCGCGTGCGCGCTTCTATATGACCCCTATCTTCCTCACCTCTTGAGTTTTCTCTCAAACATCAAAATTGCAAGGCAGCGGCTACACTTAACTGTCCCATATGCCATAAAAGGACATCCTGAACTGTTTCTCTGATTTGTTTTTAACCTTAGATCTAACAAACACCTAACCAATCCACTCACTTTTTTGTTAGTCCTTATCATTTCCTTCATAAAAATACAGATTTTTAAAATTATTTATAGATTTGTCCCAGTGCCTAGGACAAAGCATGATACACCAGTAAATGTTTCTTAAATGAATGAGCAAGTTGAAGAAATAATTCCTTATATTTATTAATACGAACTATAGTTTAAAGATGCTGTAAGCTTTTGCAAGCCTTTGATGCCTGAACTCATGTGGCAGAAGCAGGTAGAGCTCTGTGATGTCAAACACACTGAGACATTGTTTAAAAAGAGAGAGAGAACTGACATCATGAAAAATGCTGTCAATCATGGGTCAAGATGTCAAGTGTGCTTGCTAATTTTTTGTCAACCTGCCACCTAGAGTCATTTGGAAAGGATTCTCAATTGAGACCAGGCTTCTATCAGGTTGGCATCTAAGCAAGGCTTGTTGGCATTTTCTTGAGTAACGATTAACGTGGGAGAGCAAAACTCAATGTGGACGCTGCCATCCCTGGGTTGTATAAGAAAGCAGGCTGATCAAGCCAGAGGGAGCAAGCCAGTAAGCAGCATCCTTCCATGGTCTGGGCATCAGTTCCTGCCTCCAGGTTCCTGCCATGAGTTCCTTACCTGACTTCCCTAGATAGTAACTGAAAATTGCAAGATGAAATAAACCCTTTCCTCCCCAAGTTACTTGTGGTCAGGGTGTCTTTGTCAGTGATAGAAACCCTAAGACACCAAGTATATTCAGCTACCGAAACTTATCAGGATCAGGTCAGATCAGCTTGGGGTCAACTACACACCTACAACCCTGGGATTTCTAACTCTGGAAAATGCCATTTTGGATAAGTAGTTGTGCAGCCACACCAGCTTTTCCTAGTCAAACACACGGAGAACTGTAAATCTCTATCCTGTGATCCCTAAGCAAACTGGAAATCTTTCCCACAGAGATCAAAGCAGCCTTCAACTAAATGAAGCACTGCTAGTGTGGTAAAACTCCAGACAGAGCAAATGCCCATTGTCAAGAAAATGGCTGAACAGAGCCAACCTGCTTATACCATGGACTGCAACATGGCCCTACCTGAAACC